CCTTTGAAACAGAAGTGTTAACAAGTTATTCTTTGCTTTAAATCAGTTTCTGGCACTGGGTGACATCGTAAATCTTCTTCTGTGGCAGAATGGATCCAGTATTGAGGGAAGATCCTATTTCTACATCATACATCAGAAAAACTAAAAAATCAAGTACTGGGCTATTGCCAAGTATTGTGGTACCTTAATGGACAAAAGACCAGTAGGGGCTATAGACAGGGGTCTCTGTCTCCGTTCCATAGCAATGTGACTTCTCTGGGGAGCTAGGATCTACTCCTCAGTCTTTATCTTATGGTAGAGGGTTCTAGATGCACTGAGCCCCCTCAGCCCTCATGGTGTGCTCGGCAGCCCAACCTGGTGGAGTCGCTTCAGCAGCCCCTGCACGCTGCTGCCAGCAATGCCCTGCTGTAGCACGCGGGTCGGGGCAGGAAGCAGCAGTGCTGACTGGAGGAAAGGAAAGGGATAGGCACTGTGCTGGTACAAAGATGCCATGGAGCTGCTGTGGTTTCTGTGACCAGTAGCTGTGACATCGAGCCACCAAATCCCTCCACCAACATGTTGGTGTCTTGTGCATCATGGAAACTTCATGAGTTGGTTTTCCGTGGGGGCAATAGGAAAGCCAGGCAGGGAGGCACTCGGAGTGGGACCAACAAGTTTTGTTTTGGTGACTGAGCTGGATGGAGCCACCTCCACGGGGACTTGTGTGTGCCTGGCAGTGCTGTTCCAAAAGGGAGGAGTAGCTGGCACTGGGTGAAGCACAAGGAATATCCAGGAGCTAACATGGCAGGTCTTCCTGATCTGGTAGCCAGTGGGTATTAGCATCACAGAGGAGGATTTTTCTTCTCAGATTAAACTGAATTAAGGCCACATGTATAAGAGCTGGTAAAAGTGTATTGGTCTGAGTGTAGATTGTTCTGAATGTAGATCGTTCTTTGCATTGACGGTGTACTTTTTTTAATTTGGAGATTTAACAGCGGTGCTCACTATTGCTACCATATTCCTTGTATAGCTCTTGTACTCAGTAAATCTCCATGGAATTAACCTTCCCTAGAAGAGACTTTCTGCCTACTCAGTATACGGGGAAACTAAGGCACAGGATGGTGATGAGTTGCAAGGTGCCACTGTAGGCTAGGAAGAAATCCAGGAAAAGAGCCCAACTTTATCAGGCTCTTAGTCCCTGCTCCCTGTACGGGCAAAGCAGCCAGTTTCTGTGGCTGCAGACTCATAAGTGGCATCACTGACAGCTGCTGTCCTTCCCATGTCAGAGCTCTGCCAGCCTACTCACCAGGAGATGTGTCTCTGCTCTGTTTCCTTTGCAGGAGGCCTGGGAGAACAGTCTCTTGTGTCAAGTGAGAACGCCACTTCAACTGATCGTAGTAACAAAGCAGTTAAAAAGGGTAATGTGGTACCCCACCCAGACCTTTGGGTATCTTTTATTTGCTTTTTTATCCCCTGTAGAACCACGTTTTGTCCTGTGTACATGTGTGTGCCTCCGTACCCAGGAAACCAGCCCTGCCCAGGCGCCTGCATTTGTTGCTGTTGGTGGACTCTCTGCAAGGGTGGGTTTGCCTTGTATAGTGTGGTAGGTTGACCCTGCCCGGTGGCCAAGCACCCACACAGGTGCTCGGTCACTATTCCCCTCCTCCGGCCGGATAGGTGAGAGAGCAGGAAGAGCAAAAGTGAGAAAACTCATTGGTCAAGATAAGGACAGTTCAATAAGTGAAGGAAAGAAGGGCGGGGGGAAACCAAAACCAAGTGATATAAAGGCAATTGCTCAACCCCATCCACAAGCAGACTGATGCCCAGCCAGTTTCTGAGCAATGGCTACTTTGGAAGACAAATCCACGTGGATTTTATTGCTGAGCATCATGACCCCATCATGGTATGGGTTATCCATTTGGCCAGTTTGGGTCAGCTGTTCCAGCTGCATTGTCTCCCAGCTTCTTGCCTATCCCACCTCTACTTGCTTGGGGAGTGGAGAGGGCTCAGTAGAGTGAGAATAAGAAAGCCTTGATACTGTGCAAACACTGTTCAGCAATAGCCTGAACATTGGTGTGTTATCAACACTGTTTTAGCCACAAATCCAGAACATAGTGCCTTACAGGCTGCTATGAGGAAAGTTAACTCCATCCCAAACAGACCCAATACATACAGGTAGCCCTGACTGTCACTGGGACAGAAAAACCATTTTACTCCAAGGCAGAGTGTAATGCTGGCTGGCTGCTCCTTGTTGTAGGGACGTTTCAGTTAAACCGGTTTAAGCTTCTGTTCTCCTGAAGCAGGACTATCACCCAAGCCAAGTTTTGCAGTTGGCTTCTCCCACTCATGTAGGTAAGGTATTGCTTGCAGGATCATCCCAGACCTCTGATCTTCGGGCATTTCCACAGGGTTGCCCTACACAGTGGGATTGCAACCCACTGTGTGCAGAAGGGA